CCCCAGGGAGCTGGTGGAGTGGCCCTCCCTGGAGATACCCAGAACCCAACCGTACGTGGTCCTGGGCCACCGGCTCTAGGGGGCTGGACCAGCTGAGCTCCAGAGGTCCCTGCCAACCCCCAGCAGTCGGTGGTGCAGTGGTACACAAGCTGCTGCTGAAGGATGAAGCTGAGGATTGCAGAAATGGATGATCATGTGAGATGGATGAGGGAACGAGGTTGAATATCTCTGTGACGAAGAATTTGGTTTGAAATCTGGGCATCTTTTGGCGAGTGATCTTTATTTTCCTGTAATGGCTCTTTGTGTCACAGTTGGGATGTTCCTTGTTTGTCCTTGCAAACCCCTGTCTTCCTGGTGCTTGAGAAGCTCCTGCGTGGGCTCCCTGTTGTGGGAAGCGCTGCGGCAGCAGTTTTTTTAGCCATAAATGGGGTTGTTACAGCCATTGGATACCAGGCGGGAGGGTTTTGAAGAGGTTTAGGGTTGTCCTACTGCCTCACTCCGGCACAACGGTCTGGGCAGCTTCATGAGATTTCCTCTGAAAGCCAAGGGGCTGAATTGCCGGGTAGGTTTGTGGAGTTGTTAGATACATTGAGATGCTCAGGAATCTTCTGGGGACAGACTTGAAACCTCCTACTGGAGAAATGAGAAGGCAATCCTGGCTGGCGTTAGCCAGCATCTGTACTTGAGCGTGGTCTTGACCCACTTACGAAGCAGTGAATTGGTTTAAGGCAGCACGTTGGCACTGATAAATATGCACATTCTGTCTCTGTGGATTCTTAACAAACTTTGTAGAAATTTGTGATTATTGTTTGTTGTTTGATACACAGAAATAATTTTTTGACGTCTTTACCTGAGGAAATGGAGGCACTGACAAGACTGCAGATGATAAATCTCTCTTTTAATAGGTGAGCAACTGTTCAGATTTTTTTTTTACACAATAATAAAAAGAACTGGGCCGAATTCTGTATGACTTTTCTGTGATGTGAGAATGAGGAGGCACTTCCTCAACTAGCTTTGAGCTTAGAATTGATGAAGTGACTGTACTTCTTCACACAACGGGTAGTGTATTTTTGGAACTTTCTCCACAAAAGTTCTGGAGAGAGACAGTAGTAACTGGTTGAAAAGGGATTAAACAATCTTGTGAACAATGCATCCAAAAATGCATCCCGACCGGACCGTTCACTAGGATCCATAACGCAGGCTGGGCTTGTCGGGCGAGCGTGGTCGGCCTGCGGCGCTGTTGGGGGGCCGGGCTGTCGCTGTGCACGCCTGGCTCAGCTTTTCACCGCGAGCAAGGTGAAAGGACGGATGCTTCCCCCTGTCAGAGGAGCGTGTTCAAACATTTGCCTTAAATAAGTAAAGCTAAAATGCTCTCTGATTGTTTAAAGGCTGCTGATTTTTTGAGTGCCCTACTTCTGACTGTCATTGGTTTGCCTCCTTTTTCTTCTTGCAGATTTAAAGTGTTTCCCAGTGTCCTGTACCGCATCCCAGCGCTGGAGACCATCCTGCTCAGTAACAACCAGGTGGGGTCCATAGACCCTCTGCAGCTAAAGAAGATGGACAAGCTTGGAACCCTGGACCTTCAGAACAATGACCTCCTCCAGGTGCCGCCAGAACTTGGGAACTGTGAGACTCTGAGGTGTGTGTTTCAGGTGGTGCCTGTTTCACAAAACTGCATCCTGACCGGCCTCTTCAGGGCCTGTTTGTCAGGAAAGAGCACTCGGTGCCAGCACAGGTTTTTTGTAGGTCTGGATGCACAGAAAGGGTCTCTCTTCCCACTTGCACAACAAGCAGTTTCTCCTGTATTTTCTCAATATGGTAGAGAATGAGGGGAGTTTTGTGATTTAAAAGGAAGTGGAAAGGGGGTGTGGGTTTGTGTAGCTGGGCCATTAGAGCCTCGGGCAGCGCCCGAAAGAGCACTCGGTGCCAGCACAGGTTTTTTGTAGGTCTGGATGCACAGAAAGGGTCTCTCTTCCCACTTGCACAACAAGCAGTTTCTCCTGTATTTTCTCAATATGGTAGAGAATGAGGGGAGTTTTGTGATTTAAAAGGAAGTGGAAAGGGGGTGTGGGTTTGTGTAGCTGGGCCATTAGAGCCTCGGGCAGCGCCCTCGGCTGGTGCACCTGCGGGCGAGCTGCTCCGGTTCACAGCACGGCCAGTCCGTGCCTGTCACCCCGTCCCGGGGTGTGGAGCTCCCATTGCTGTAGAAGAGGTGGGATGAGGGGCTGGAGGGTGTGTACGGACATGGCTGTGAAAGCCCTTACATCACCCACCTCAGAGACACTGTCTGGTCAAAGACAAGGCCTTACTGGTCCCTGTGGTTTTCTCCTTTAAGGCCGCTTTCTGGAGGGACTTCAGAAATACAAAATGCCAGCCCCACCCGCAAAACCTGTACGGAGTTATGGTACTGGAGAGCAGTGGGCTGGCAGCCAAGCTCGAAGGTGGAGGGTTACAATTTAACATAGCTTTCCCCTTTTACTGTCCCCTGTCTGTATTTCAGATGTTCTTTTTCTTACTCTTTCCTCTGGCAGAGGCTTGCTGAAGAAGTATTGTGTGTCTGCAGTAATGTACTGCCACTGATTTATTAGCATAAATTAAAATTCAGGTGTCTCTAAAGAAGAGAAGTTAGTGTGAACTAACAATTAGAATTCTTTTAGTAGAACAGAAGAGGAATTACTTATGAATTTCAAAAGATGCAGGAGCTATTTGCAGCGTGTGAAGGTGTTGGTCTGAGGAAGGGTCTTGTCCCAGTCACTCGGCCCCTCTGTGTTCCCAGGACACTTCTGCTCGAAGGAAATCCCTTCCGCACGCCCCGGGCAGCCGTTCTGGCAAGAGGAACAGCCGCCGTGCTGGAGTATCTGCGCAGCCGCATCCCTGCGTGACCCAGCAGCCCGTGTCCTTGGCAGGCCCCGGAGTCGAAGCACAAGGGAAGTATCGCCCTGTTCGACCAAACGCTGCCGGGTGGCCCTGCCCTCCTCCTCCTCCTGCCTCACGCTGTGGTAATCTGGCGGGTGCCATTTAGCGTTCCTCATGCTGGTGTAGGGCACCTGTTGGGAGAACATGCTGTGAAATACTTTCCCCTCAAGGCTGCATGTTTCAAGGGGGCGTTTTAAAATACCCCAACACACGTTTACACTGTTTGTAATAAAGAGTGCCATGGGCAGCTGCCTTCAGTCGGAGCGACAGTGTTTTTTTTTCCTGCACTTAAGCTGATTTTTTAAAGAGAATTGTCAGCATCAAAAGTATTTGAGCACCAGGCAGAAGTAACCACTGGTTTTTGTACACCGGGTTCCTAGTCTCAGGTCAGGTGTTCTGCTAAGCAACAGGTGGCAGGGCTGCACAGGGTGAAGTGCCGGAGCCCTGGGTTTAGGTGCTGTGGTGCCGAGGGCCCGGGCGGGACGTGCTGCGGGTGGGCATGTGGCTCCGTGACGTGACGCGGTGTGGGGGGCGGTGGCAGCTGCCCCCAGGCAGCACATGGGCCCCGTTGGGGTGTGGTTTGGGTTTTTGCGAGCGTGTGCTGCAGCTCAGTTTCCAGCCAGTAACGCTGAGAGGTTTGGGGTTCTTCCACGTCCTGGAAGCGGCACCCTTACTAACAGTCGTCATTAATGCCCCAGGGCTGTTGCCAAGAGGGAGGGAGGGGCTGCCTGAGGCTGCTCACCCTGGGCCTGCAGCTCTGCTGCTTCTCGGTGTGGCTGCTCTGCTCAGAGAAGGGCCAGAACCGCCCAGCTGGAGCCACCCGAGAGCGGGTGCCTGGTGCTGCCTGGCTCGAGAGAGAGAGAGGGGCTGGGGCGGCCATGGGGGGTTTTTTTGGCAATGGAGGGGGAAGGGGGTTTCCTGTCAGAAATAGGCGAGGGCTCGTTGTGCAGAAAGAAGGAGGTCTTGTCTGCGCTCGGACAAGGCAAGAGCCCCTCTCTAGTTACATGGCTGCTGCTGTCACCCCTGCACCGCCCCTCTTTTTTCTTTTCCCTTCTTTCATGCGGGGTTTGTACCCAAAAAGCAGCAAAGGCCGCGCTTTTCCTCGCAGACTGAAGCCTCAGCAGGAGCTACGGCTCAAGGCCGGGGGGGCTCAGCTCTCAGGTCTCTGGGACGTATGTGGTGCTTGGGACGAGGCTCTCCCTCAACCCTGGCTCACTTTGCCTGTGGCTGCAGCGGTTCCTGGGGCCACAGGGCCAGTGAGAGACTCAAAAGGCCAGTGAGGGACCTGCAGAAGGGCTGGTGAGGGACCTGCAGGGCTCCGTCCAGGGGTGCCTGGGCCAGGCTGCCAGGGGAGGGGTTGGCAGCGACCACCTCACGTCCCACACCACACAGAACAGCATGTTGGGAACCCTCGAATCCTTCCCCAAAGCCAAAGATGACACATTCATTACAATAAGGTGACATTTTTATTATTTATACAATAAAGAGACTTTTTAATGTTATTCAAAACACTTTTTTAAATACTGAAAAAGTTGGGTACACCAAAGCCGAAAAATGGCTCTGCTATACACTGCACAGCATCGTTGGAGTCCCTGGAGTTGTTTTATGTACAGAAGCATCTGCAAAATGCATTCTAAACACCATACGCACCTGACGGGAAGTGTCATACATGAAATAAAACCGGAGGGGTACAACCTGCGTGTGCAAATGGACTGACGAGATAATTGATTGCACTGAATCAATAGATTTAAAATAGAATTTCGAAGTACCTTTTTGCACATAAAATGAAGCAGCTTTCAAGTTCAGTAAGTCTGTATACTGCAAAAAACATTAAGTACATTCACAATCTATGTTAATAAAGTAGTAAATATTTCTTCATTCAGCTTTATTTACATTAATACTGTAATTAAACTGAAAAGTACAGTTAGTCATTTGTAATATAGCAATCTTTTAACACATACAAAAATGACCATTTTCTGTATATAATTTAAGCTCAAAATCACAATTATCTCAAAATATTAATTACAATACAGCCATCTCCATCATAATTAAACATGTCTCTTATAAAATGGTAAAATTTTTAATAAAGGAAGGAAGTAAGGAAGGAAGCTGTTGGTTCTGAACGGGATACAGTACTCACAAGTAGAAAACTGAACCGAGGGCCGGGGCTGGGGCGCAGCCGCCCGAGCCAGCGCAGGGACAGA